CGTCGGAGCTGGAGATCGGCGTTGTTTCAAAAAAGGAACCTATTTTCAGGTAAGTTATTTTCAGCATCAAACCTTATAGTCTCCTGATGCTGGTTAGTTAACTGCCAATCATTGCTCCTTGTAGGGCCTTGACTATTCAAGAAATTGATTCCCACCTTACCCGAATGGCCGAAAAAGACTAAAGTTCATTAAAAGCTTGTTCGTCATGTTTTAATTTCGTGTGAACTAGAGTTGGGACTATTTGAGGTTGGTATTGGTGGCTTCAATCTCCTGGGGTTAATCGAGACTAGCTGTCGCGTTGATGAGGTACTTATGTCAAAGGTAAAGGAAGAAGACAGCTTTATGGCAGTCACGATGGATTGGAGTGGAGTATGGAATGCGTTGACTATGTTCGAGCCAGCGACCGTATCGTCCATCATGTGGGGTCCTCGGCTTTGGAGGATTCGTGGTGAGCGTGAATTCTTAAGCCTCAAGGAGATGAACACGAGAGAGGCTGAGGATTGGGTTGGAAGTCGTACCTTTTCACAGGTTTGGGATGGCGTACGCACTGGTCATGTAGTCCATTGTAAATTGTGAAAAGACATGCGTATAAGGGGTAGTAGGAAATTCCAGCCAAGCATTCGTGTGCGTTGTGAGAGAGATCTAAGGGGTCGAGTTCCTCTTCTTCGCCTGGGTTACATTTTGAGAACCATTTAGCTCACTAGTTACAGCAATCCTCAGCGGTTCTGTAAGCCTGAGTCACCATTTGTCATTCGATTTCAAACCACTCGGAATATGGATTTGTAAGCTAATAATGCCCAATGAGAAGTAACCATGGTAGAGCACTCATCCACATTCATTAGTTGCACATATCTCGCCCGCCCACGAACACATTGCGGCAGTGCTTGACTTACTCCTCAACTCTCAATTATGACGAGTGGCTTCGGCCAAACAAAGATGCTACAAGTTCATCGATGCGTCCCAGTCGTGGATGTCGATGGGAGTGGGGCGGATCGTCGTTTGGGGATAATGGGAGGTAGCACGCACCTACACGGATCTCAATCCAGTTTCGTATTTACCTCTCCACCAGTTTTGTTCATTCCGTTCACGTTCTATTCATGCTAGTGCTTGAGCAATCACTCACTCACTGGAAGACATTCATCAAATCCCAAAACCCAAGCCTTTGCTACTTGAATTTTGGACGTCGTAAATTACAAAGGAATTAAATTGAGCATCTTCTGACTAGGCAAAAAGGAAACTGTGAAATCAAAATACAACATAATTGTTCAAATTGCCTGAGAAAAATAGAGGCATTTGCCCTTAGTGTAGTGAACCGCATTTCACGGTCTCAGTACGGCTATTCGCATGCTTCCCTCCCGCATGCACGCACGCATGCACACACACCCACACACACACACACACACACTGTGACTCCTCGCAGATCCGACTGTGTATGCAACTTCACTGACGTTCAACACACTTCTAATGATCGAGATTACCTCCGAGTTCACTTTGTAAATACATGCACACCCACGCAACAGCACAAAATGAATTTAAGCGCGTACCGCAGTGCTGTGGCATCACAAAGTGGACAAATAAACCAAGAGAGACGCCATGGCACCGAGCTTGTCAGTAGCAGTCGTTTTGGTATTCCTTCCCCTCCTGCTTTTTGTGACTGTGCCTTCATCAAAGGCAGCTCCAGTAGTGAAAACGGCAGCAGTGCAACAAACGAAATCGCACCCACAAGTTCTCACTCCAGCAGTATGGAGAGGAGTCGTCAAAAATGTTGCCAAGAAGGTTGGCAAGGCAATCACCAAGTTTGCGATCTACGAAGCAGCCGAAAAAGCCGTTGTAACTGCCTACGATAAGGCGTCGAAGTGGATCAAGCGCCACTTCAGAAGGTAGAAAACGCGCTCAATCCTGTGCCCTACCCAATCCTGTACACTACCCATTGATGTCCATTGTTACCGTTCTACCCTTCCGACTTTTTGTTCACACCAACAGATCTTTTAAAATGCAGACATATGAGTTAATATTTTACAAAATGTCGATTTCTTAATCGCGGTTTTGAAGTTAGCACGATGACCTAGCCCAAATACATCGTCTCGTATAATAAGCAAATGCCACGTAACTGTGAATTCGGCGCCCTCAAATGACCTCGAGTAATGACACGTACACCTTCGTGTTCCTTGCTTGACTGTAGCATAAAAGTCCATTATGTGTATGAGATTCTAGTTGGAAGCAGTGTGTACGATACAATTTGTTTTACCAACTAACTAACTCAACCATCAGGACCATAAGCTTAGCCTGCACTTGTAGCCTAATCCACGTTGTTCTCACTCACCACAAAATTAACCGTGGGGAGTGGTAAGGCAGTTGTGCAGTAAACAACAGAAATGGCACTACGTTGTTATTGGTACATCGCTGGCGTTAATGGCCTCACCCGGAACCGACCAAAATGAGAAGCGGACCAAACCGGAATTCAGAGAAGGGGCGGCTCTTAACATGTTGATATTGAGCAAGAAAAGGGCATACCCTTGCCTACTTACAAGACTTTTTATGCATTCAGTGCGTCAGAACGCTTTGCGGAGAGTCACAATCGCATTCATCGTGCCAACTGTGCAAGATCGCAGGTGTGCAATTCACGAAACTGGAGACCCCTCCTACCGCAGCGTAGTCGACTGGTTATAATGTGGCTAATGGGAGCATGGTCTTTTGTTTCGATACTAATGATTGTGTAGCACTGTGATTTACAAATTTTCCACGTATTTCCAGCTAGCAATAAGTCAAAAATCTTAACTGATGGTTTAGGCCTTGCATTTTGACAATACCTTCAATTGAGCGTTGACAATGACACCGGATCATTGGAACACTACAGTCCAGCTTTTAAACAGCCTTTGAATGTTCTATTCTCCCAACGTCTTTTCGCCGACACGAAGCTTCGCAGATCGACTTCGTCTGTTCACAAGAACCTCCGCACTTGTGGGTCGTATGGGTCCAGCAACCTGATGCATCAAGAAATGGGAATGAATTGGCCAAATGAACGTCATTCGTGACAGGTGACGTCTTAATGTCGTAAAACATGAAGCCATTATTATAGACGAAGCGTAAAATCCTCATACGTGGGCAAGACTGCGCTGCCTATGGGGAAAAACGTTTTGATAAGGAATGCGAGTAACATGAAATCTCCCTACATAAAGTTGCCATTACTACAAGTTTGTCACGAAGTGCACCAGGGTTAGTGAGTTTTAGTAACGACGCCGCCATTTTGGCTAGGATTACAGGACGCATCAAATGCCGCCCCTATGAAGCAGTAATATCAGTGCGATCGAAAGAACTGGAGCCTGACCGTGGAACAGATCGTACATTGCAAGTGCTTCTCCAACAAAATAAGTACTTGTCACCAGTGGCATCGATTCGACAGTGCGCAAATTTGATGTCTCCATTTTCACTCCAAATACGCAAATGTCGGTTCCTGATAGCTGAGACTTATGGAGGAATGGTCATTCAGCAGAATGAGACGCTTTCATTATCTGCAAGCGTGCTTCAACAGTCGACGTGCAAGTGAATGAACAAACAGTGCACTATAATATGATTAATTATTGCACAAAGAAGCATGCCAACCTGGCGCCATAGATTGGGCCTCTGTTCACGCCAAAAATGCCCATAAGGACTTTTTACTGAGGATGAATCAGCCAAACGCTGAGCAAGCCCATGAGCATGATAACCTTGCATAGCAAAGGCGCGTTTTACTAGTCGATCCTCGAGAGAGTGAAAGGAGATGACTGCAGCCCGTCCCGATGGTCGCAGCAATCGATGAGCCGCCTCCAGACCCACGCAAAGCTCATTAAGCTCGTCGTTGACGAAAATACGCAGCGCCAGAAATATCTGTGTGGCCAGGTGGCAGCTCGACTGCCCGCTACCCTCTTCTTTTGCCCTCTGTCTACAAGTAACACCTTTTGATAGTCAATGTACAATATCCGAAACCTATGTACCACGCCTTATGCACAGCCGCCACTCCATTCGGACACATTGCTTCATCCTGTCCATTAAAAAGGAGTCACTTGTATCACCTTCACCTAAGCCAATGCAAGTGAACTTTCGACTAGGGGAAATACAGACAGAGAGAGAGAGAGAGAGA